CCCCGCCCCCCCCCCCCCCCCCGTCCTGCCTCTGACACAGTGCGGGGTGGGGGCTGGGGGCTGCGTGTAACCACGGACGCGTTTACACTTTCACATTCCTACTGTGAATCAGAATTAATAGTACTGCTATAACTCAGAGTAGCTAGTATGAGAATGAATACATTAAAAATGGTAAGTTGCTCAGACACTGCGGTAATGGAGACCATATAAGTACCATAGATGGATAAATAGATACTGAGGTGATGAATGCCGTATGAACACAAGGTAATTATTATAAACAGAGAGAAAATACTCATCATAAAAAAGTCAGTTTTATGAAAAATTTGAAACAATAGACAAAAATCTGCTTTTATGTTTGCAATAATGTACTTTCATTTGCAACAACCCTTTCTACATGTGCAGCAACTGCTTACAGTTTTACAGACTCAGGGCCCAGTCTGTTGCCATTGGGAAACCTTCCCTCCATTAGGGCTTCATTGCTGAAGTTTTTACCCCAGCCCTCCTTGGGCCAAGTACCTAACAAAGGTACAAGTTCGTACTCAGGAGCAACTCAGTGGAAATTTGTGTCTGAATAAGAACTTTAGGATCGGGCCTCTGGATAGGGTTGCCAGATGGTTTACCCAAAAATATCGAACAGCCTTCCCCCTATCCCCCCCCCCCAAAAAAAAAAAAAAAACACCGGGGGGGGGAAAAAAAATGGGGAGATCAAAGTTTTTGAGCAAAAAAACCCAACAATAAACAAACATTAAATTAAAACAGCTTTAAGTGCCTGCAGAGTCAGAAAAGGGATAGCAAGACGGGAGAAGTTGAGCACATATTAGGTGTCCAGTATTTTCTGAATTTTTTTCCCTGGACTGGAAGCGAAAATACTGGACACCTGGCAACCCTACCTCTGGATGCTAAACACCCTGCCAGCTCAGCACTCTTCCTCTTTTGGAAATGGCAACAAGCTTTAACCAACGTGCAGGGGAGTTGACAGCCTCACTGGGCTCCTGGGCAAGGCGAGGAGGTAGCTCCATGATCCCATAAAGGGCGGGGCCTCAGGCAGAAGGGGCAGGGCTGAGGGCAGCTGCACAGACCCTGTGCGCTCCCCGTCCCCCAATGCTGCCTGGAGTGTGCCACATTCCCCTGGCAGCCCTTAGAGCTATTCAGAGTGCACAGTGCGACTCTATAGTGTCAATTTAATGGGCTCAAGACTCTGGGTGCTGCCACTGCACTAGCCCCCTTTGAATTCCTGGACCTCGTGGCAGTTGCCCCCTTTGTCTCCCCAGTCAGCAGGCCTCCCAATGTGGGTTGGCTGATTTGAAATCAGGCCTGTGATTGTCCCTGTTTCTGAGCATAGGAACTTCAAAGACTCCAGGAACGCTGGGGACTGAATCTCTCTTGAAAGTAAATCAGGACAGAGAGGAAGTGCAAATGTAGAGAAGACATAGCTGCTGGAAGCAGTTTCTACTGTGACACACTTCACAAAAAGGCTACAAGCCTCAAGAACTCTTGAGGCTTTGTACTTGTTAGTGCCAAAGCAGCAGCTTTGCATTTGTGATTGTAGGGATACTACGTTGTTGGCAACAATGTTTTTGAATATGCAGTATATTATTGCACTAATTTACAGGGAGCAGATCATGTTTTACAGTACTCTTTTGCAATGGTAGTATTATGTGAAATATAAGTATGTCATTTTCAGTGGTTTACTCTACAGTGTTTTGAAAAATAGTTAAAAACTTGTGCAGAAACCTGGGCAATTAGCATTCTACCTTTGTCAAGTAGATTTTTAAAAACTTTTACAAATATTTCTAAATATTTTGCAGATTACGTGTATTTCATAGATGTAAAAAGCATGTATACGATGAAAGTACATACATATTCTCTCACATCTGATTCAACATTCAATAATTGTTGCAAAGAAATAATCATATTCATAACCAAATGGCATGGGACTTTTTAGAAGAAGCATGGTCTCTTCATTAAAGGATGAGGGAGGGAGGGAGCGTGCAAGGGATCTGGATTCTATTCCTGACCACTCCTGTGTGATCAGGGGCACGTTTCTTTAAATGGACACTATCAGCTTAAAAATAAAGTATCGTAAACACTCATTTTTACCTATATTACTAATAACAGCTTAGATTATTAAAAGTGAAATCTTACAAATTGAGTCCTGAGGTGCACTTACTTTTCATAGTTTCTCTGCGTAAACAGTCAAAATCAAGGAGAAAATACTTTCATTTTTGTTTTCTTTATAAGTTCACTGTCAGATGCTTAGTTTTACTTTTGGTTATTAAACACTGTGGGAGAAATAATGAATGAAAAATAACCATTTGAATTGGATTTTAAAACAATATTGAAATTCCTAATTGTGGAAAGTGTTCATCTTATTCCTGCAGGTCCTGGTCAGATCTGTAGCTCTTGACCATACTTAAAATGATAGTGTTCCTTTAAAAAAAATATATCTCTGTGCCTCAGTTTCCTACCTCACAAGGAATGTGCTGTAATAGGGCAGAAGTATTTTATATGCTATATTGCACAAACAGTATGTTGCTACATACTGAGGAGACCAAATATTGTACTTTTCAATATTTCCACTGCTATATGTGTGTGTGTGTTTGTTTCTTTAATACGTAGGTTAGAGGGATTGTGCTGGAGGGGATTTAAAAACATTCCCCCACTGCTGCCTCTCAAGTTGAGACAGCCTCATGAGCCAATCCTGCAAGATGCTGAGCACTCGAGCTGTGCTTTAGGAAACCCTTTAAGTCATATGCGCTGAATGGGACTCATGCTTACATCCTGTGCTAGAGTGGGACCAATGAACTGAGCAGCTTTGCAGGACTGAGCTCAAATGAACATTTTTAAAGTGATGAGTAAGAACTGAGATGTCTCATGTACCACCTATAGCAAAATCTTCCTCCTATAGGGGAAAGGCTTTGAAAACTGCCTTTAAAAGAAGCCCAAATGATCAAAGACCAGCTGGCTATCTCCTCACATCCCCATTATCTGTCATGTTACAAAAGACGACCCAACATTTCTTGGTTCGATTTTTCTTCCCCTTCTGTCTGACTGCTGACAGCTTTTGGCTGCTGACTCTAACTTACACTGCAGGACTGAAGCTGGATGAGACTCTCAGGAATCCTAAGCCAAAACAAGTCCTCTGCTGAATGCCAGCTAGTTCCCTTTCAGTACAAACAGTGTGAACCTTGGCTATGGGGAGAAGGGGATATTCAAACAAACTAGGGAAACACTGATTAATCTAGCAAGTGCCAAGCATTGCCTGATCACTTGGCTTAGCCATCAAAGAAGAAGGCTGACCTGGAGCTAGATTTCTGTAGCTGACTGTTAAATATGCTCATTGGGTTGTTGTTTTTCCTTCTCTTTCTCACCCTCTCATCCCTTTCTCTAAACAGTGTCAAGTCCTGTTTCCAGAACATGGAGATTTGCAAGCGGCGGGTGAACATGTATGACACAGTAAACCAGAGCAAGACGCCATTCATCACCCATGTGGCCCCGAGCACATCAACCAACCTGACCATGACCTTTAACAACCAGCTCAACACTGTCCACAACCAGGTATGGGAATCAGCAGCAGCCAAGGCCTGAAAGCTAGAGAGCCCTAGAAAATGGAGGGTAGATGTAGTGCTCTTATCAACACTGGCACAGTAAGATGGCTCCTTTCTGCCTTGTGACAAGAACACACCATCCTTCTCCTTGAGCCTTGTCTAGTTCTGTGGTATTTTATGCAGGATAATTCATTCCATGGCACTCGTGTGACCGTGAAATACTGGCTTATTCGTTCATCTCGTTGGGGATGATGAACCCCACCTTCCTAGGGAGTTGGAATGGAATAAAATTCCGATGGCAGTCTCTCTTTGTGCAACAAGTAGGATTGTGCTAAGTGACAATCAGGCAGACACGAGTAATTATGAAGATTACTGCTGAGATAAAACTAAATCCTCACATCACAGACACAAGACTGCAGCAGCAGCAGCAGCAGCAGCAAATGGAAGTGCTCTCACTTCTTACCGTAGCATTTGGTGGGGTATTTCTCCTTGAGTATTATTTGTCTTTACAGTAGTCCCTAGAGGCCCTAATTGAGATGGAAACCCCACTGTGGTAGGCGTCCTCTGCGGTAAGAAAAGCCTGGTCTGCTGGGGCAGGGGCGCCCTAGCTGCGCCCCCCCCCCCCCCCCCCCCCCCCCACCCAGAGATGCTCCACGGGGACCCCACAGAGCACATCTAGGCGGTCCCGCCACCTGCGTCCTCCGCGGTGAGAAAAGCCCCGTTCGTAAGTAGGGATCCAATGTAAGTCAGATCCACGTAACCCGGGGACTGCCTGTATCCTTTTTTTGCCTGCTTTTGGAACTTAGGCTGGAGAGTAAGACTGCTTATAAACTCCTGTTGATTACCTTCTCCCAAGCACCAATTAGCACCCTTTACTAGGCGGTCCCGCCACCTGCGTCCTCCGCGGTGAGAAAAGCCCCGTTCGTAAGTAGGGATCCAATGTAAGTCAGATCCACGTAACCCGGGGACTGCCTGTATCCTTTTTTTGCCTGCTTTTGGAACTTAGGCTGGAGAGTAAGACTGCTTATAAACTCCTGTTGATTACCTTCTCCCAAGCACCAATTAGCACCCTTTACTATAACCAAACACCACCACCTGCACGACTAGAAGGGTCAGACACTCTGTCATCTTTACTCGCCCTGAGTAGTTCCTTACTCCACCCAAAGTTCCTGCCAGTGAGACTATTAGCACTGCATAGTGTGAATATGGGTGGAAGAATCTGTCTCTGCATATCAAACAGCAGCAGAAATTTGGGTGAGGTCTGCCAGTATCAGGCAGTTCCAACATTCTCACTGTACGTCAAAAACCACTGTACGTGGGCCACTTCTCCTGTTTCCTCTCCCGTCTCTAGGTTAGGTTTCCGACTGTCTCTTGTGTGTCCATCACTTACTGCCTGGGTTTTTTTTAAAGGGGGTTGAAAAAAGTGCCGCTTTATGTTCTCTTATCAAAAGAAGCGTGTAGTTGTGATGGGTGTATAAATGGGAATCTCCAAATTCTCCTATATGTTTTGTGTTGGGAACAGAACTGACCTCACCAGGTTTCTCACAGGGTGGGCCAGAAGCATGTACGGAGCAGTTTGACTTTGTGTGACCGTTCCTTTTTCAGCCTGTGAAGGGGCAGGCCCCAGTCCCGGAGCGAATTCGCCTTGGACCTGGGGACACATAATCCCTTTGGCCTGGCCCTCAAAGTCCAGTGCCCCTTTATCAGGGGAGATACGGCCCTCTGGCCTAGTCCATACAGACAAGCCTTTTGCACCATCTTGGAGGCTGAATTATGGGGGTTTTGGGGGAGGCAGGGGGACCCGGGCCCTCCCGCTCCACCGGGTCCCAGCCTAGGGCCCTGTTGGCCGTGTCAGTATCCACTGCCTGGTTGCCGACCCCCCGGAGGTCCTTCCTCCTCCTGGGGATGCTTCCTGCCTCTCCCCTGGTGAGGCGATGTCCTGGGGTCTGTGCTTTGGCTTGCAGCTCCTGAGCGCCTGAATCAGCAGGCCTTGCTCCAGTGGTAGCAGGGATGGCTGGGACGGCTCAGGATCTCTGCCCTGCACCCCTGCCACTTCAGCTACCTCCCCTGACTGCCTGCTTCCCCTGGCTTTTATCCCAGGACTCACTCGTGCGCATGCCCAGCAAGGCTGCAGGGGTGGGGTCTGCCCTGCCCCCGAGGCCAGGTGAACTCTTTTAGCTGCAGTGCGGGGCCGTGACGCCCTTTCACAGAGCCCCTTCCTCTTCCTGTCTCCTCCCTGGTCCCCAAATCAGGCCCATCCTCAGGAGAGATGCTCCATTCTGGAGACTCCCTGGACAACAAACTGGGCTATGGTGTGGTTGGAAGCAGCCCCAGTTGATAGAGCGTCTCCCTATTCATGCTTAGTGTGCTCCCTTTGCCCATGTCACCTTCCCTTGCCTCTTGTGCTTCTCAGTTTTCTATTTTGCTCCTCATTTATTTTTTTGTTTCCTGGTTTTATTTAGATTCATTTATTTTTAGATTTGCTTCTTCCAACATACCATCTCCCTCATTTTTTTTTGTTTAATTCCCATCATTCCTTTAGGCCACCAACCTGGCTCCCACCTCCACCAGTGCCACTATTTCTTTAGCCAACCCTGAAGTCTCCATACTAAACTACCAATCTGCACTCTACCAGCCTTCAGCAGCATCCATGGCCGCAGTGGCCCAGCGGAGCATGCCCCTGCAGACAGGAACGGCGCAGATCTGTGCCCGGCCTGACCCCTTCCAGCAAGCCCTCATCGTCTGCCCTCCAGGCTTTCAAGGTAAGAAACCGGCCTGCCTCCTGGCAGCCAGCCTTTCTGTTGTTTGATTTGGTTCACATTTGAAATCTCCCTCCACCATATCTTTCTGAAGGAAGAAAATCATGAAAGTGAGGAGAACATCAGGAGCAGTTGGGTTGCTGGTGATACCTCGGGGGTGGAGGGAGGGAGATGAGATTGTGGTGCTCATCGTTCATTGTCCTGGTCAGTGTATTTTGAAGAACCTTTGCCTTGTGTTGGCAAATTGAAAAGAACTGACTATTTTACTGACCAGTTCCCAGGTTGCTCAGTGACCCTGTTTCCATGAGGTGACTCAGCAGGTTAGTTCTCTGGAAAAGTCTGTACTGGAGATTTGCCCTGATTATGGCCATCAGTGGCTAGTCATCTGTACAGCTGCACCACTGCAGCTAGTATAGATAGGTATAGCTGCTTTTTGCACCAGTGGGCAATACTCCTGTTTTAAAATGGTGTAAACTGCATTGGGACACATAGCAGCTTCACCTGTCTGTGATAGGGGTTGCTCCTGCACAGTTTCACCAATAGCTGTATCAGAGACTCAGTCCAGGCAAGATCTGAGATTTGGTCCTGATGGCGCAGGATCTATCAACAATAATGTTTTGCAATACTCTAACCACTTTTCTACAAGGACTTTATAGTGTAACTTTTACCCCAGTTGAAGCCTGGAGTCCCCTAACTCAACTAGGTTAGCAGGTGTTAAAGTAGACAAGGACACTATCACTTCAGAATGTGTTGACTGATGCGTACTGGTGATATGCCTTTCAATCCTAGTGAAGTCTAGAGAAACAAAATGCCTCAATGACGAGTGGAGTGTACACAACCTTACTCTGGAGTCCCAATCTCCCACCTCAGCAACAGGCAGCACCCTCACCCTATAGTGTATTTTTCTAGCCATCTGTGATGGTTGCTGGTAGCCAGATTGGAGAATAACAGGTTTAATTTGAAAACAAACCCTTATAGAATTGCCTCCAGATGTGGGTAACGTTATGATGTCTCTACTAAAGTTAACACATTCTAAAAGCATATGCCAAGTTTAAGGAGGGTTAATCTCCTAGGGTGTGTCTAGACTACAGGGTTTTGTCGACAAAAGTGGACTTTTGTCGACAAAACTATACCTGCGTCCACACTTCCACTGAGTTCTGTCGACATAACGTCGACAGAACTCAGCAGTTTTGTTGACGCTGGTAAACCTCATTTTATAAGGCATAACGCCTTCTGTTGACAGAAGGTGTTATTGCATGTAAACTCTCCTTTGCGTCTACACTACCATGTCGACAAAGCAGCTTGCTTTGTCGACAGAACTCAATGTAGTCTAGACGCTCTTTGTCGACAGAAGTTTTGATTATTTTAATCGCGGCTTCATTTCCCCCTTCCGATCTGGCTAATCTACATGCCTCCGTCGAAGGAGGCATGTAGTCTAGACACACCCCTACTGTCTTCAGCCTTGTGTGTGTGTGTCATGTCTGCCAAAAATTGATAGATGTCCATGGGTTGAGAGTGTAATAAATTTGACTGGATGTAAGAAGTGGGAATCAAGCGCCTGATTTTCTTTTTTAGACCCCTCTTCTTAGCAGTGCTGATGATGACTAATTCTGTACCTTCTCTGTCCATGGAACAGGATTACAAGCCTCCCCTTCAAAGCATGCTGGGTATTCTGTACGGATGGAGAACGCTGTTCCGATTGTCACTCAGGCTCCTGGGGCCCAGCCTCTTCAGATCCAGCCAGGTCTCCTCGCACAGGTAATTTTCTTAGTCTGGGTAAATGTGCTTTGGGCAAGTATAGGTGACACTTGGAGCAAGTGTTTTTCATTTAGCTTAGCTACATGGAGCGGGGGAAAACTCAGTCCCTCTGTGGCTCAGTTGTAGAATGGCACACCCAGGTGAACATCTCCAGCTTTCCACGGGGCATCTGTCTTTCCTCAATCTCCTTTTCTCCTGGCAGGCTACTTCTGATTTCTAAAAGGCTCTAACAGTGTAGCAGGTAACAGGTCCATTCTCTTTCTCAGTCCCCCTTTTTACAAGGTGTGATCCAATTCTCATTGACATCCGTGGGGGTGGCAATAGGAGCTGTGTCAGGACAATGGTAAGAATTAACGATTGATACTTTTCTGAATCCTACTAAGTACTTGGCCCTGTGACATCTTGCAGCAGCAAGTTCCACTGGTAAATTGTGTATTGTTTAAAAAAGGTTTTGCTTAATTTATTTTTCAGTTTGTTTCCTTTCCATTTTATGGAATGTCATCTTGTTCTTGAGTAATGGGAAACCTGAAGGCAGGGCCAGGGCAGCTATGTCAGAGAATCTCTGCCTCTACTGGTGCAGTTCTTGAAGGGACCCTAGTAGAAGATAAATGACTCCCCAACTATGGAAACCCAGAGTGGGGGTTGTCACTTGCAAAAGTGCCTATCCTCCGTGAAGGTGAATCCCCAGCCTTCTGTCAAGAGGTATAACTGAGACCTCCTTGCCCCAGTTTCTGTGAATCTGGCCATTTTTTTAAAGTGGTCTGATATTTATTGGTGTCAGGAACGTCTTTGATAGAGAACAAATATACTAAGTGTTAGGTGCATAGAGCTACACAATGCCTCCTGGAAAAAGTGATCCAGAAGTAAAATACATGCCTCCTGTGGGCTGCTTAATGCCAGAGTGTTCATTTGCACTCAGACATCAACAGACTTTAAAATCATGCCCAAGCCTTGGATTGCCCAGGTTACATATGCCATGTATATATTCCTGTGATTACTTTCCTTTGCCAGAGGCCTACCGATCTTATCTGGTGAAGACCGAACGAAGCACAACGTAACACCTGTGTGATTTTTCACTAGCTAAGTGCCCCGCCTATTCCCACTAAAAGAGTCCTTGTGACAGAGCTGCCTCTTGGTGCAAGTCTGCTTCAAAATGGAATTCATCATTTTGCCAATGCCTGTTATAACCTTCAGCATGGCAAGCTTGGACCTTGTATCCCATTCAGAAGTCTGAGAAGCAGAGCAGTGGAAAGGAAATGGAGAGATTTTCAAAGACTGGAGTGGGAATATGTGCAAAGTGAAATTAGGCACAAGCAGCTGAACTGGCACAAATGCTTTCCAACCGATGTTCCCTCTAAGCCACAGGGCAGCTCCAAAACTGGACCCTAACCACTTACTCTCTGTATACATTGAAATCCAGGAAACAGGGCCAGGCAAATGGCTGCAAGTGCCTCACACAGAGGCCCTTGGATAAACTCTTCCATAACGGTAGTGATGGATACGGACGCATTTTGTATATTGTCTCTGTGAGCTGGTTCTTGCAGAAATGAAAAGTTAAATCAAGCTGCTGCCTGCAATATGCAAAGTAGGGGGTGAAAATAATCTTTACATCAGACCTTTCTGGGTCCATTTTCTCCCACACGAGCACGTATCCCGGCATGTGGCTGGGGAGACAGGTGAAAAGAGGCTCTGATTCCAGTCTTTAACAGATCAGCAACTTCATGTCTTAAAGGGACAGCACTCCATGTATTTGAAGGGTGTTTTTTCCAGCCTGAAATTGATGGTGTCACCAGGGGTGCTGACAGCCTCTGTGGGACCCTGAGCAATGTGGGGGAACCTCCGGCTCTGTGCTTTTAGAAGGGGCGGGGCCAGAGCAGTCAGCTCTCCATGCCTTGCTGCATGCAGCGTCCGAGTCCCTTTGAATTGCCAGGCCCCAGGGCAATTGCCCTCCCATCGGTGGGCCTGGGTGTAGCACATAGAAAAGTGTGATCCAGCGCTTGTCTCTTCCTTCCCTTCTCCCTCG